TTAATTAAATTATAAATATATCAATTCATGTGAATATGACTGAAAATTTTAAATTTTCCTGAAAAGGTGGTGTCTATTTACTTGTGACCACTCAGTGTTATGTAGTTGATGGTATACACATCATACATTAGTTTCGTACCTGTTATATATAAAGAAAATATTTAATCTTTGACTTATAACCAGTTGTATCGTTTTTCCTTGATCCAAATGATGTTGAGGTGATACTTACACTTTAGTTACAATTTAGACTTCTGCTTGAATGTGAACTTTTGACCGACTTTTCAATGAACCATATTTCTGGCTGAAACTTTGTCAACTTGTATAAAACTGCTATTTAATATACATATATTTGCACACTTGTCCAGAGCACCTTCTGTATTATGGACGTTTCTTCTCCGTACACAAACATTCACCAAGACGAAGGCCTTAAAGCTCGTGAATTTTCTCTTTTGAAACTAGAAAAACCCAACACTATTATAGATTTAGCTGAATTAGTTCTTACTAGGGATGCACAGGTATTCGGCCCCGGCCGGATATTGGACTATTCGGTAATACTCAGCTCTGGGTAATTGAAAATTGCATCTAAGCCCTAATCTTTGTAGCAACTTACGCGGTACTGAAAGTTACAGCCAATAATTGACTTAGTTTAAAAAACGTGTTCCGAACAACAAAGACTGACCGCCCGCTGAAAGTTGGGGATTAAGAGAACAACAGAGGTTACTAACAGGCCCGGCTTGAGAAGTGTGTTTCTGGGGAAGGTGGGGTTTTTGAGAACAATAGGGATTAGGGTTTCAGAAGTTGGGGCTAGCCATTAATTGGAATAATGATTCTGAAACGTGTCAACATCGCTGTTTCTGCGTTTACTTTCACTGGCCTCACTTTTGGAAGTCAAATGAAGCTCGATTTCCCACAATGGTCAGGATAGCAAGGCGTTATCTTTTCATATCTCCGACCAGTGTAGACAACGAACGGGCTTTCAGCGCCGCTGGCAATATTATCACACAAAAAGGTCAAGGTAAAAATACAGGCATTCTGCAAACTAGTGTGGACATTTTTGTTAGTTAATTTTGAAAGTTGAAATTAAAACTGGAATGTTCTATTGGTGATTATTGGTTAAATGTAATAAACGTCAATTTTGTTTCTAATTTTTGTTTTTTTGGGAGGTGGGGTAGAACCCGGCCCCGGCCGAGGTTTAGTGGCCGGGTACCTGGACCCAGTATTCGGCCAAATTTTACTACCCGTGCATCCGTAGTTCTTACTATCAATTGGTTTTCGATATAAATCAATATGTAGAACTTCATCTCTTAATGTTAGGTAGATAC